GGCATTTTGAAGGCCTTTTTTTATTAATATCTACTAACATTTTTAATTACCTATACTGTATACCGACATTAGAGTGTATAATACAAGTAAGTGAATAGTATTTATTTTAATAGAGAAGAATCATTTGACGATATTTCTCGGGATTGTTCGTTTTATAGCAATAATTTTCGAGTTTGAATTTGTAATTGGCCATCCTTTCGTGGAAGTGGTTGCTTTTGTGGACGATCAGAAGTTCGTGTTGATAATCTGATAAAATTTATACCGGTGTGTAAAGGTTTCAGATCGTTCCTGGTGATAAGAATCGATAGAAAACAAGACAATACCTTCGGCTGAAATGCTCTTTGGACATTTATATTGTCGGCTTTCAGTTAGCTCCATCGATGTTGTTTTTCTGCTTTATTTGCTCGTTTTTATTTTACGCCCGTAAGCCGCGAAACAATTTCGATTTATGCATAAACAAGCCTTCGATAATTTTCTAATGGTTACGTCGTTTTCTTCTGAAAAAATACCCAACGGTTTTATTTAATTTTCGATGTTGTTCGATCCGGAATTCATAAATTAGATGAACGCGTAGGTACCTACTGCTTATTATGCAAATATTTGGAATGTCGAATTATACGGGTACCTCTGCATATTAACGCATTCAGTTCCGCAAATTTTGCATTTCCTATATGCTAATTTGAAGCTACTCGATGCACCGTTGATTCTTTTCTGACGTTCGATAACGTATAATCGATACCAGTAGCGCATCAGGATGCCCTTTACCTTATAATGGCACAGTGAAAGTTTCGGATTCGACACGATGTTTATTTTAAAATATCCTCCTTAAAGTATGCATCAGGGTAGAGTAGATTAGAGTATAGAGAGCCTAGCATAGAGAGCAGTGCGTAGAGAGTAGAGAAAAAAGGGTAGAAAGCATAGAGGGTAGAAAGCATAGAGGGTAGAGACTAAAGAGTAGAAGGTACATTGAGAGTATATAGAGGATAGAAAGTTATAGAGGGTATATAGAGAGTTTAGAGTAGCAACTTTATAACCGTTTTAATGTATATGAATAACATTGCGCTTGAACATAAAGTTGTAAGTATATATTTTTAATTCTACTCGTATATTCATGATATATTTATTGAAAGATACAGCACTGACTATACGAAGCCAGGCATGTCGACTTTTTAAATAATTGGCGATTGTTTCTTTCCACTATTTACCTACCCGTAACTGAGGGATGTATTATTATAATATCACAGGTGCTTAATATGTAAATATTCTTTAATTCGCATATAAAGAGTTGAACGAAGATTAATATACTGGCTGTCAAACGGTATAGATTGTAATACTTTATATTGTAGTAAGTATTGTATATCTAATATACAATATAATGTAATACGGAATATTTTATTAAGACGTATGCATCAGCTAAAGTTTCTGTATAGTTGGGATAGATGTATTTCTTTCTTGTAGATATTATATTATACCTAATATATTATAAGTAATATAGCAAAATGTTGAATTATTTGTGAACAATAGAAATTTATTTCAGGGGTTATATTTGAATTTTCGTCCGCATGTATAGTAATAGAATTTGACAAATGACTAGTGAAGGAATTCGTTTCGGCGTTTTACATTTTAGTGAGAACGCGCTTAAAAGCGTGAAATTACTAGCTGAAACGAATTTTCTGCTTCGCCTAAGTTCTAATCGACTTCTTCATTAGTAATTTCGACTTCATTTAGAGCGTAATAGCTGAAATAGTTTTTATTGATATTTATGTAGATATGCCATCATCCAGAGGATTGTGGAGTTTGAGTTTCCAAATGCCAGCGTATAATTCAAAACCTACAGAATTTTAATGGATTCTGAAAATATGCTGAAATGTGTATATTCAAATGTGCACAATAATTATTCAAAAATATATAACTTTAGTTGTGGTATTTTACATTTTGCGTTCAAGCACAAAGCATAAGTACTCGTATATTCATTTTAACATCAAAATTCCAAAGACGCCAACAAATTAGATAAGGTGTGCCACATTTAAAATAGGTTCTAAACATCAACATTCAGCCCTTTAAAATATTATTAAGCAGATAATACAGCCAACCATAGAAACAATTTCTTTAGTTAGTAGAATTTATTACTTAGATTTGTTTTTAAACAAACCACCGTTGAATTTATTTTATTACAAACCCACAGGAAAATTTTGTTTTATCTACTATATTAACGAAGGGAGCTAATTTTAAGTTTGAGCACGTCAATAAACAAACTTTCTAACGTTAAAGTAAATTTACGAGTTTAGCACACCAAAACCGTAGTTCTCCCCAATGAAAACAACACTTAAACTAAAACAGAATATATCTATAAATGAAGAGCTTTCCCGAACAATGTCATGAATTGTCTTGTAAGTGCGGTAACAGTTGTTGTTCTAGGATTTTGTAGACGACACACGAAATATCGCTGGAATGACTGTTTATTCGTTTGGTTATAGTTTTGTAGTACGTATGGGGTGCCTATTTTTGGATTACAAGATTTATTTCTTTTGAGAAAATTCTATTTGTCATGACTTTTGTAGATAAATGCAATGCCTATAGATCTAGACATGATAGGAAAAATTACCAATACCAGACGACTGTAAAAATGATGGCTTTTCTACATGAAGTTGGTAATAAATGTCAAACATAAAGTGGTAGCAACGTTGATCAAGTGGATTCCCATCAATTTCGACATATTAGATCAATTTTAGCCGGTTCTACACTTATTTTAGATGTATATTTCTTGACCATTTAAAGACGAAGAAATGGCATACTTTGTAATAAGAAAGAATTTATATATTTCCGTCAATAGCGTACCTATAGGTAGGTACACCGGAGGATTTAAAAATATTACACCACTATTTAAAGATATACATCAGGGTGTCCAAAAGTATGGAAACGGTTGATTTTCTGGCAAATTAAAAAAAAACATGTATCTAGTAATTTTTAAGGGCTATCCATTGATACTAATATCGAACCGCCACCCCACCTCTTAATGGGAGATCGAGGGGGTAACTTTAAAAATTTTAATGTGGAACCCCTTATTTTTTATTGAAGATTCGGAATCCTGGCATCACAATAAGCAAGTTTTGTCTAAAATATTTTTCAAAATTATTACAAAAAATGCTAAAATTTTGAAAATTTAATTGTCCCTATTTGTCTTTAATTGCTCTTAATATTGGTTAATTTTCGGTTCTTTTATATGCAGGTAATAAAAACCGAGAAATGATCAAATTAATTTTTAAATAGGTTATACACGGTTCTGCAACGGCAAAGAATAAACATCGAACTAACAAAATTGTCATGCATGCGTTATAGGGATACTATGACATTTTATTTGATATACAGGGTGTTTTTCCGCAAGGAAAACTTAAAATACCGTGTGTGTTTTTTCTAAAGTTAAAAATGATTTAAGGAATTTTAAGGAAACGTTAATTACATAAACCGAGCGAGGGAAGCGCTGAGAGGATCCGTCTGGATAACTTGCAGTCTTTGCGTAGAAGGCCGATAGGAATTCGAGCTGCGGGTCTATGCGGCAGAGTCCATTATATTGTAATGTCCAATAAACCCGAAATTTAAAATTATGAAATTTCAACACCCTGATGTTATACCTACATCCGTAACGAAGCGTTTGCGGACCTATAGGTATGTTAAATAAGCCAATGAATTATGCCCTTTCCAGTAGGTACCTACTTTCTGCATTAGTAACCTTCCATCATCTGGGATGACTCAGAACGTTCCATCATCGGATGGTGTGGCCCAGAATTTAACTCAAGCCCCACTGAGATGCCCAAGGAAATGCCACGGAGTTGCCAAAACTGCAGCCAAAGACATGAAAAAGTTTTTCCTTTGGCAAATAAAAGATTTAAAATCGACCAATCCCAGTAGGAGTTACAAATCCACGAAATTGGCGTAATTTGCTTTATCATCAATTTGATGCTGGTATTATTGAAAGATTGTCCTTTTTACTTTCAAGGTTAACAGAAGCTGTCAAATTCAGCTCATCAATAACTCATCCTTCGAGGAAATCGTTCCCGATATATATTCGAGCAGCTTCCCGTGAGTTTCGTCAACCAGTCTCCATAAATTATAATCCAATAATATGTTTCAATAATGTCAAATTGTTAAAACTCATTAACATCATTTTCTTGAAATTCAACTATTATATTGAGATTGGTCGATTTTATAAAACCTCTTTATATTTACCAAAGGAAAAACTTTTTCATGTCATCGGCTGCATCAGTTTTGTCATCTCCATTGTCGTTTTCATAAAGCCTTTCCAGGTGGGTCATAAGTTTTGGACTTATTAATCTGAAGATAATTACCGAATTTTGAAGAGGTCTATGCGTTATAAAACCATTACAAAGGCACCTCTGTATCTTCGGTAAGGTATACCTATACTGGTAAATGTATGGCGAGTACATAAAACCTATTTAACTATAATAATTAAAATAGGACTCGTATCTAATTTTATGCCGCCGAATTCATTATAAAATCCAATAAAATAATTGCATACGAAAGCAACCCTCGGCACCCTTCTAGTAATACGGCATTATATCATATCGAACCCGCTTGCACGTTTCGCCAGTTTCCTGTAATCCAGGAGGCAAATACGATTTCTGATTGGCCTAACGATTCGAAATCGTTTCTTCCATTGGCGGCGAGACAAAGAATGCCTCGAACATTCCGGGCGGGGCGGGCATTCCTGCCATCCGAGTGGGGGTACCAGGGGCGTGTCTTCTGGAAAACAGGGTTGAAGAATTTTTGTATCAGTCTACCAGCCAGTCATATACCGATCGCAGGATACAGTGAATCGGACGAGTTTTTTGTCGCAACAATCGCCATAAAAAGTAACAATACAACTGGACGCTTTTACGGCAATGTGCGGAGTGGTCCGGTGTGCGGAACAGTGCGCCTCTACCGGTGTATGAGTACAAATTCGGTTGTGTGAGAGTTGGCGTTTCGCTCGCGATGTATATATGTATATAATGAGTTGTTCTGAAGTTATGTACCAAGCGTATTACCCGTATTTGTACCAGAGAGCCGGAGCCGCTCCCCCCGTATCTGCCCATCCCGTACCGAGAACTGGACCGTTCTCGTCGCCTTTCGGCGCCGCACATCAATATGACAGGGTGAGTAAATCAACCACCAATACGCACATCTACGAATATGCATATCCTAATCATGCATAAGTATATCCTGCTGCTATATCACAAATAACTACTGACCTACAAGAATCTTTACCACACGTATCAATTGTTGAACAATCAGCAGAAATTTAATAGTCTTGTCTTATAGTTTCAATTGAATGTATCGAGGAATTGTAGTCTATCTATATCTATACTACCTTAGGACGTACCATGGGTGCTGGTGTAGTATGCGGTCTACCATAATATTTGCGGTCTACCTACATATTTCGTCGCCAAAGTATATTTAAATACTTTGACAGGTGTCATATTATGCAAAAGTGAAACTAGTTTTGAACATGTCTCACAAAACTGCAAATAATGTTTGATGTCCATTTAAACTTTTTCTATCTTCTATAGAGGTTCCAAGAAACCTGTTACTAAACATCGTAAGAACTCATGCTCCCTGTGTAAATTCTGATAAAATTTCTTTTGCTTCAGTAATTCTCGATAAATTAAAGAATTACTTACATACCTGCTATTCCATACATAATAGGTAATATACTAGTAAATTTTTTTCTTGTGCTATGAAGGATCAATTTTCAAAATCTTGTACACTTTGTTATAAATACTTTGTATAAAATAAATTTGGGTAGACCGCGGATACTAAACCAGATGCGGTAAGGTAGACCGCATATACTAGACCGGCACCTATATCTATCTACAAAGTCGCAAAGTCGTAATTTGCGAATAATACATTCAATTTGTTTCCAAATGAAGGGTACAGGGGAAGAACGACAATAGTCCATCTCAAAGATTATCGAGAAAAATTAAAATATAAGTTTACCTACTCGTTAGAAAGTAATAATAAAGGTATCTTTTATCTGTTGTTTTGCGGACTTATTTTTCCAATTTAACGATTTGATTATCTGATAGTAACTACAAAATGCTATAATAATAAACTGTGATCTTAGTTTTGCAAAAAATGGACTATTGTCGTTTTTCCCCTGTAGCCTTCAAATGGTATCACAAAAACATCTTAACATATCTGGAAAGTATAAAACGATATACGTAATTTGAGAAAACCCTCACTATAGTGTCTGTATAAAGCGGTTTTCGCTTATGAAAACACCTGTGATAGTAGATGCAAGTAGATCAAAAAATACTCTCCATGAACCATGCGTCACTAGAGAAAGAATTGTCAATTGTCACCCTGAAAAATATCTAACAAGTTGAAATATTGTCGAAATATATTTGCAAAATATCCATAAAATCCATAAGGAAAAATCGATTGAGAATAACTATACCAAAGGGACTATTTTTTAATCGTCGCATCGTATTTAAATATAGAAACTACATCAAACTTTAATACAATTAATTATGATGCTGATATACCAGAATGACGGATCAATTCTCTCTTGAATTAAAATTGGCTCCTAAAATTCGCATAATAAAAGGTTATTACAAATGTATAAGCTACAATATAGGTAACATACAAATCGACCGACATAGCTGAAGGAAACCTTCCTTCTCTTATTTTTATTCCTATCGATTTGTAAGCGATAAATTACTGATCAGGAAAATTAATTGTATTCTGAGGATAATTGCAATGCCGCATGAATTTATGCGTCCGTCGGCGTCGGCCGATAGGTATATTCATCCGAAATACTCGGTATTATAATGTCTAATAAAAGTATGTATAGGTAGGGTAGGGCGGGGCTAGTTGAGCATACGGGTAAGTTGTGCAATCGAAATATCTCGCAAACTATTCACCGTACACATAAACATCTTATGGCGGAAAGAAGGGGTCGGGGGAGACCTAATCACAGAGCTATTGCAAGTGGCGCCTCGACAAGCGAGTAAAGCCCCCGTGCGTTTTGTTTTTTTTGTGACCAAAAAGTAAAAACGTCGTCTATCGCAAGTTTTCGTCTGTATTAGTCAAATATTATCCGTTTTCAATGAGGTAAGGATTAATATTCCAGAAAATTATTGTACTTTTGATATGTAGAGATGTTCTGGTTATAATTCTTACGATTTCTTTATGGCCTCACTTTTATTTTAAAATTGCGGGTTGGGGTTAGTTGAGCAACTACTGCGAAATTTACCAGGAGAAAGTTGGATTCACTGCCAAGCTTGCAGGGAATGGGCACAAATAAAATGTCTTCCAGGTGCTATGGTCTTACTTTCATTTGTATAAATTGCAACAGTAACAACGACCAAAAATTGCTAATATATTATTAATATTTTTTTAAGCTATTTAATTCTGATTTTAAACAGAAAGCTCGTAAATTACTTTAAGTTTTGTTGTTTTGTCACTAAATCACAATAAATAAAGGGATGATTATAAAAATAAACGTATCCTATATGTAAACATACCGTTGCTCAACTTACCTCACCTATGGGGTACATTGAGCATACTTGACTTTCTGCATTTAAACAGCTGTAGCTCTTAAATTCAACTAGTTACAAAAAAGTTACTATGGACACTTTTGTTAAGGGATAAATTACTAATCCATCAAGCCACATAACAAGTCATTCACACATATCATTGATGAGCTATATCCGCTAAAGTGAAAAGTTGCTCAACTAGCCCCGCCCTACCCTATGTATAGGTACACATTTATGTGGTTTTGTACTTAGAAAGTAATTGGTTTTATTAGGTAGGTAGGACTCTAAAAATATTACCCTAAATATTATTTATTATCTTCTTGAGTGAATTTTTCGTTATACTCGGTACTATATTGTATATACGAATTAATTTAATTTGAAAAACTTCGGTATTTGTCAATTTGTATCCTGAATATTCACTGTATTCAACAAATAAGAGTTCAATAAATAATAAATTAATTAATATGGATAAGTAACTTGGCATTTAAGTGATTAATTATAAATTTATTTTTTACCAATATACTTTCTATACTTTTCTATATCTTTCCCTACAGGGACACATACCGGATAAATGATCATTCGAATCCTAGATATTTTATTGTTTCTGCGATACAATAAAACAGCTCGAGACCGCTAATCAAAAACCGATAAAAAATTGAGCAAACCGTCTCAGAAATAGAATGTTCTCACGCGGCGAAACCTTCTCTATGTAAATTTTGGTTGATGTTGACAGTGCCGTAATTTATTCGTGGTCGCGGATCAAAAGTAAAAGCCGATTTGTGTTAGACATCGGCCAGTACGCCCAACTATTTTTTGATCATTTGTATCGGAATGGTCACAATGTACCATTCTTTATTGCCATCCGACGCGTCGCCTTCGATTGTCGATTCCTGACCCTGTGAGCCTTTTCTCACCGAATTTTTTTTCCTACGAAAATTTAATTGATTAACTAAGGCATTAGAAAAAAATATACCTATCAGATTTTGCACATTTTTTTTATCTATACCTAGGTACTGAAAATACTATTAGTTATAGCGATGAGGGTATATAGCGCATATTCTAACCTACTATAGAACAAAAAATTTGTAATTAAATATAAAAAGCAGATTGAAATGTGGGATTTTATACAGTTTGAACAAGGTTAAGATGAAAGAATCTTAATTTTCTTTTAATTGCGTATGCAGTTCATTTGAATTCTTTCATTTCGCATCTATAAAAAAGTGGTCTTTCTAGTTATCAAACCGTTTATAAATCATAGTTGACATATGTTCTATTACTTATTCCTATTATCTACAAACATCATAAAATTCAATGGCAAATAAAAACAGTAGATAATTTCCTTACAGTTCCTTATTACTAAAAGAAAAGATCATTGAATTATATAATTTTAAAACCTTTCAAATTCTATTTAGTTCTCCAAATTATTTTCTCTCATCTACAGATCGACAGGTAGCTTTCTAACTGTAGATTTTGATTATTCTTTATATTATTCGATTAACATTATTCATCAATCCTCTTCAGATACACATATGTATGTACATATTTATATTTTGTACATAAAGTACCTGACTAATTACAAACTTATCATATTGTAAATGAATGTAGAAACACCTATTTGAATTAAATTTTTATACGTTTATGCAGATAACTAACGTTGTATCCATTTGTTGAAATTAATTTAACACATCGACCGTAACAATTACATCAATCGTACAGTTCTTTATTATTATAGCAATTTGTTTTCGAAATTAAAATTGTTTAATAGCGAGCGATAAGCGTTCGTCACTAAAACAGTGTCATTATGTACCCGTTGATTGTTATTACTTTAATTGTTTATTAATTGTCCATTGTTCACGAGTTCTTATCGGACACGCCGCTGTAAAAAAATGAAGCGCGATTAATTTATTATTCTTCTAATGAAATTATATTTCTATTTTCTATATACTTCATTTTTATAGGGGCATGCTTAATTTACAATCAGACGTTAATTTATTTTTATTATACCTATTTTAATTAAAATCTATGAGAAAAATACCTACTATGTATACAGGGTGTTTATTAATTGAGTGCCGATACTTCAGGATGTGAATATTTGGATGATTTTAAGAAGAAATGTTTATATCAATATATGTCCTAAACCTCTTAGTTTTCGAGCTACAGGGTGTTATACAGTTTTAGAAAAAAATAACTTTTCTATCATACTTTTCATCATACCAAAGAGAAAACTAAAAAAGAAAAGAAAATTAAAAGGTTTCGTACATATTGATATAAACTTTTCTTCTTATACAATCAAAATCATCCGAATAATCATATCCAGAAATATCGGCAGTCAATTAACTAACACCCTGTGTAGTACACAAGTGTTCATCAGGGAAGGGCTTCAAATATTTTCAATAATCAAAAATTCCCTGTTTGAATATATCGTAGGTATATAGAAAAAAAGACATATCTGTTATTCAGCATTTTTTTGATGAAATTCCAAAAATTTCGAAACATTTGTTACATGAAGATTTGGAAAAATATTTTGAAGAAGTTTTTGACATTCTTAGGAACTGTTTTGGGATTGTTAATGAATTGCGTATACAATTTTTGTAGGGAAACTTCTGAAATTTTCAGTACCTAACAAGAGCTTGTAGATTATTGTAGAATTGGGAATAATTAAAGAAAAAATTAGATATTTTAATAATCTCATTTAAGTTATTATTTAAGGTATTATAGATATACAGCATTTAACAAAAAATTTTAATAGGTATACAATACCTCCTTTATAAGAAACTTTTTCGATTTTTAGTTAATTTTCACAATATTTTCATGTCTTAAGCTTTTAGCTACATTGTAGAAATCTACATGATTCTCTGTTACACAAGTGTATCAATATTTTGGAATTTTCACTTGATTCAACATACGATTTCGCTATATGTTTATCGTGCCAGGTACGATTATTCATATAGTTTAATAAAAAAATGGCTAAAAAATAGATATTCTAGATACAATGAAAAATCTCCAGAATTGTTCAGTCTGTATTAAGTGGTATCGCGCACACAACCACCATGTATGTAAGTATTAAATGTTCTTCTATTTATGGGCCTTTACACAGATTTACTCATTTACTTCAAAAAATATTTTACACTGCACAATGTACTGGAGTTTTCGTGCTTAATTCCTTTGCCACATTGCATTCTTGTACCGATTCGTGCCATCAAGTTAATTTTTCAGATTTTCCAACTAAAATACAGTAGACATTTTACATACATATAGTATACCTATACATACAACTTTTGAAATAATTATACTTCATTATACTGGATTAGAATTTAAAACTTTATTGAATTTGAGCTGATTCGAGAAAATTCTTACAAAACCGTTTCCATAAGATAGATAGGTATAGGTAATATAAAGAAAATTAAAATTCCATCATTCCTGTCTTTCTATCATCTTATAGGTATATCACTAGAAATATAAGAGGTATTCTTTTCACTGAAATTAAGTAGGTATACAAATTAGAAAATCCTCGTTTCTTCTTGGATTATTCTCCTAGTTTTTTCTATTTATTGCATCAAATATGTACAAATAGAGCTAAAGAAATTTGGTGTTTTATTTTAATTCGACCATCGAATACACCATAGCTATACGAATCCTTCTAACGCAGTCCAGTTTTTCTAAACCAGAGGTTACCGTGCAAAAAATCGTAGACAAAACGCGATGGGAACCTGGCAAGAAACGAATCCGGCCGTGCACTTTAATTTCCTACCGTTCCCAAGGCATTCCGCTGGCTTCGGCCCAGATGAAGAGGAGTCCAAGAATCGTCGACGCGAAGATGGTTCTGCGCTCTCGCCGGATGGTTTATGCGCGGCTAATCGCGATCTTCGATTGTTTTTCAACCCGGGCCCCCTTTGATCGATAGACTGGGAACAAAAACGAGTCACTCGCTGAAATTAGAAGTCTCGGAAGGGGTTTGTTCGACGCCGCGGAATGCTTTCAAGTCGGCCGCCTTCGATGTACTCCGGGAATGCAAGAATGCTCGGACCGTATGAGCTATAACATCCGCGACCATATTTCTTTTCGATTCTTTCTCGTTCTTTGATTGACCACCTCGCCCTGAATCCTTAATTAATTAAAAATGATTTTCTTATGCCATATTATAGTGCAATATGAGCGACATCTCGATGGAAGAAATTTCGCGGAAAGTTTGTTCTCGAATGTAGGTACTGGAATGATTTATTTGAATTTATTTTAATTGGATTCGTTCGAGTATTTATTCGTAAAAACGATCGAAAAGACGAGAAATAATTGATTGGGTAACCTGCTGGCGCATCCACAGCCACCAGTGACCGTTTGATATGTACAATAATTAATGCTGAATCGCTCGATGAAGAGTCTTCGTTAATGGAATTAGCAACAAGTTTGAATCAGTGTGTCGTTCGTTCGATGGTTTTTTTTGCGTTATTTCATTTTATTATTTCGATCAGGTATTGATCCGTTCGCCGTCCGGCCGTCGTCGATTGATTCTCGGGTTAGTTTTACCGAGAATTAAATCTAGTGACAATTGTTGCTTTTCTTTCGCCGTTTTCGGTATTGCTTCTTTTCCGTATAGTCTCTTTCAAGTTAATTTAAATGCGTTTTTCTACCGACGATTTCTTGTTTTTTCGAAGCGGATCCTGTCATTTCTCGAAATTGGCTGGCTGGTTTTCAATCGCATAGTGCATGGGTGTGACTCTTCAACTTAAAACAGATGCTTTTCGCATTCTTCGACAATACCGTGAAGTATCGTGTCTTTTTATTCTGCATTTGCGATAAATTTTTTCTTTTAACAAAATTATTCACGTACTTATCAACCTTATTAATCAAATCTCTATAATATATGATTTTTTTGGTTTTTTTATGATACATCAACCAATAATCATCAACGGATTCGATATCAGTGAAAAAATTTAAAAGAAATAATAAAGTAAGAAATACATTTAAGAATAATGTAAAGTAACTTGTATAATGCAACTTCTGCATGAATTAAATATGGTTTAAAAATACCATGTTAAATATAATTTCAAAAAATAAATTCGATACGCCACATCAGAATTGACATAAAAATTAAAGAATGACTAATAATACCAACACATTTTGATCCAATTTATCACCACAGCTATACCCAAAAAATTCTCAATCAATCATCGATTGTCGCAAACATTGCACCATTTATGAACCTCGCTATTTTCTCTCCATTCCAGTTCAACGTGCAACGATTGCAGGACGCGCACACCCTATCCCAAGCGGCGGCGGCGGCGAGCTCCAGCAACGGCACCTCTTCCCTGGGAGGCGGTCTGGCGTCCGTGGCGGCGGGAAGCCTCGACGGGCACGTGGCGGGCGCGAGCTCGTCGGCGGCGGCCGGACACTCCCATCCCATTTATCTGCAAGGATCGGCGCACAGCTCGGGCGGCTCGGTCAGTTCGACGGGCGGCGCGTCGCCCACTAGTCCCCTCAGGCCCGGCAAAGAGGAAGACTGCAGTCTGCATGGAAGAAGTAGTACCGAGGGTGAGTTCTTTCGAAGTTTCTCTCTCCGCCTCAAAACTAAGCGATTACGGGCGAAAGTGAGACTCTCATTTGAGTCAGTCAATCACTAATGCAGCTTAATTGTACAGCGATATTTAATAAAACAATTAGATTTGGCAACATCTCAAAAACTTATAGGAAATTATGCAGGTACTCACATTAAATTAACCTTTTATTGTTAGTAATTCAATTAAGCTAACTGATAATCCCATATATTAAATTATGAGATGATAAAATCTATAACGCATACAGAAGAAATATTATTAAATAAATAGGCAGTTAAAACTACTGTTATAGAAAAATTCATTCATTGTATTACATAGATAATAATTTACTAGTGTTAATAGTAGCCGTTTAGACATTTATTGGTGCTCATTTTGTTCGGCTTGAGTTCCGTGAACCGATCTTGATTAAAGCGATTCCACATAATAAAACTGTATAAATTATGAGTCGAGTCCGAAGGAGAATGAGAGTCTTTTACGTAAGTGGTAGCCGCAATCGTAACCTGTAATCGTTAACTGGAATTCATATTTATACTCATACTCGTAAACGTGAACGGATATTTAGCCGTATATAGGATAGGTATATACAAAAATTGGCTACTAGTATTTTTTTTGTTTGTGTTTTCTATGCTAATTGAAACCAATGTTTAGATGCAAGTTCGTATGAAACATTTTCATTTCTTATTTTACAAGTATCTCCATTTTAAATACAACTTTATAATGATATTGGAGAGTTTACAGATTTACATATTCACAATTTGCACAAAATTTTATTTATACTTGCTTGATGCGAAAATATTGATTTTGTATTAGAAATTTCCGTATCTAATGGCTATATTTAATGTTATAAATGGAATTAGTGTTTAAAATTCCAAACGAACCGAAATACTGGGGTATTTAATTTCGGAGACAGATTCGTATTAGTAAATGCATTCCACATCGTTAATTAGTTAAACAGAAAAATGTCACAGTAAAAACTCGCTCCAAAATTTCAACCTCGCTCACAAAGAACAGAGACGTACCCACTTACTTCACAAGGTGATGCAGATACTTATAGCCTATAAAGAAGATTCAATTTTTTAATTACTCATGCACAAGTCCCTAATGTTACAGAGATATTCAGCTGCAGTAGGGAAAATAATTAAACAATAATAGAATTGTAGAAGTACAAAATAGTCCATATTTTTTACTAAAGTGCTATACTTGATACTTAAAAAGACTCACTTAAATATCTTTCTGCTTAAATCTCTTAAATGAGAACTAAAAAATAATTATTATAAAAAATAATGATTGATGTAACATGATGTCTGTAACAATTCTTGTGGATTAATATTCATACAGTGCGAGACAGGAAATTATTATTTTTTTATTTAAATGCAATTAAATCAGTGAGAATGTTTGTTCATTATGCGTAGAAGAAAAGTGTGCTTCGATATACTTTGTATTACATAGTGTAAATTTTTTCCACAATAGGTATTTCGCAAGGAATATTATGCTGAAATGAATTATTTATACGGATAAGTGCATTAAATTCGTTATAAAAAACCTATAGGGCATTGAAATATAGATAATGATGGGATTAACAGATTATAAAAAGAATATAAAGTTTCATGTTATACGATTTATAGATGCCCAATGAAAGTTGCCTTTTGAAAAACCTACCAAATGTAAATTAAATTCAAATACAATAATTGTATTTATTAATAAATTATTAACAATTATTGTTAAACAATGTAGTTAAATAAAAAAATACACTAAATCATATTAAAAATGCTATTAAAATGTAAAGAAGAATGTAAATTTCGATTCACTTTAAACATCTTTTGAGAGAATCCTTTATCATTAGCAATTTCTCATCAGTGGAATTATCTTTTAATAACGGTCTCGATATTTCAGATCCTCAGCCCGGCGTCGACGACGACGACTCGCAGGAGGCGGGCAATTCTAGGGCTCAATACGTTTCTGCAAATTGCGTCGTTTTTACCCATTATCAAGGCGACGCAGCCTCCGTAGTAGACGAACATTTTTCTAGAGCTTTAGATAAGACATCACATACCAAGGGTAAGTTCGATTTCTTTTTCATTCAAATATAATATATTAATAAGTCCTGTGAAACAAGAACTTTCCTTTATACCCATCATCATCAGTCATATTTAAGATGCTATATGGTATCTGAAGACACAATGAAAGAATGCTTGAGCAATAACGCGAAATTGATTGTAAAAAAATTCTATAACCAATCTCCAATAAACTCTCCAATAACCAAAAGTGTCTTCAACCAGTAACCAATTTATTGATAGTTTCCACCTCTATGCTTCAAGAACGCACGTTTACCAGAAGAACTGGGTGATTTATATGAAGCGCTATCTGATTATTTTTTTATTTCTGAATGTTAACTTCACTTTTACATTCTCGATTGTCCGTTTGAGCACGCCGACCATGGGCTCCCGGTTCCCACACTATTACCGAGTTTATATTTGGTTAATTACAAACGAATTTACAATTTACACTAAAAGTATCGGCGAGAAATCGGTTACAAATAGTCAAGAAAATCACAAGGTGACACCAAAGGATCGTCGGAAAAAAAGACAAGAAAAACTTGGAAAAGTAGCCGTGTCGCTGCAACCTTGATAGTCATCTCATATGTAGACTTGAGAAAGAAAGAAGGAGAGAACGTGAAATATTTTTACATTCTGATGGATTTATGAAAGTAATTACCGTAGTGAAATGACATAAATAAAGAGTGATTTATGTTTATAGGCGATCAGGATCAAAGCATAGGCGCGCGTGCTTAACGCATAATTGAGCAGAGATCTACCTACTATACGATACTTCGCTAATCATTATCTTAACTTAACCTATTTAGAAAATGTTACTACATTTATTGTTTCTAATATTCCCAGAGAAAATTCTTACTATTAAATAACCTGATAATACACATAAAAATGATAAAACATCAAAATATTCGATTTGGAATTAAATAGATAGAGATATATGCAAATGATGCGCTCATGGTGCATCCAGCTGGTTAACTCTTTGGGGACCCTTAAACTTCTTTTAATTAATGATCATTTTAAAATGTCCCAAATTTGACACGGCATAAATATTTGGCCATACAAATAAATTTGTATTATGATACAGAAGCATTTATGAATTTATTTATGGCCGTTGTAGTTGTTTCGAGTGTTATAAACTCATGTATTGTTGACGATTTTTTATTGTGTTTTCGCTGTGCCATTCATTAAAAAATCAGTCGGTGTGTAAATTTAAGGATGCAGCCAAAAATAAACTGAACGAAGAAATGCATTATAGATATACCAAAATTTTGTCATGCATCCGGCTTATAACCAATAGGTATTACCAAAAATTTTAATTTTTCCTTAATAATTTGTATTACAATTGCAAACTATTAGTTGGTTAAAGCTTAAAGGCGTGAAGTATTAATTTTATAATAAATTTGGTTTCTTAAGCCTTCTCCCCTTGGTCCAATCGACATTTTGACCTCTGCTATACCCCTACTATGCTGGTATAGTTCTATATCATTACTACTTTAGGACACTTTGCGCCTCAATTACTTAGCTAATTATAATTTAAAATATATCATCTAATCAAAACGTAATGACCGTTACAGTTATTTATAAAAGCCGAATGTTTACATAACAATTCAGTAATGATATTCACAAAGCACATAAAGAATAGCCGTGTATCCGACGTTATAATGTTATAAAATGTGATAACCGTAAGGTTGTTTTCGAATTCTTCGAATGTCGTCGTGTAATAATTATCAGCTCGTGAAGAAATGTTTAAAATATTTGATCGACTGCCAATATTTTTCCTTTGCAAACACGTGTGTAAAATGATTTAAAGGTTTCTGCGCCTAACTTTTTTAATTAATATTCACGCGTTATAAATAAATATAAATTGCATTCAGGAAGTATTGAAATATGCAAATGTATTTAGCAAAAAAACTATTTTATTGTATGAAAGAGATATTATTTTTTTTCATTTTACTTCATACCTTGTTCTGGTAAGGCATCAGATAAAAAGTTTAACAAAGGCTTCCTTCTATAGTCCATATTTTATAAAAATGAAAAAAAGAAGCAAAAAGTAAGAGAAAAAGGTTTTAAAAACATAAACAGAGGTTTTAAAACCGTATAAAAACCTTTTGCTTTAAAGCAACCAGCAGGGTCCTCGAAGCAAAACCTCTCTTTCCTCTCTTCTTCTCTTATACCTTGAAGCAATTCCTTAATTTTTTGAAATCTGCAATTATGAATTATTTGAAATCTGCATTATTAGGAATATATTTTATTAATTTCCGTAATTGTTCCAGAAACCTCACCGATGTCGACTCGAAATTTTCCCCCTTCCTTTTGGAATAGCCAGCATTACAACGGAGCTTCCAGCAGCAGCCATCACGCTGCCGATCTTTACACAGATCATTACCATCCGAGCGATGCTTGGTATCAATATAGTCAGCACCACAGGGCAGTGCATGATTACCATCATCATAACATGGCGGCGCAGTACGGTGGATTGCTGCTGCCTAGTTCAAGACTGCACATGGGCTCGCACGCGCCTTGTAAAGCCATGGACTGGCAACATCCCTCGATAGAATCGCCCTATTCTTCCTATCCTACTATGTCAGGTATATCAAATATCAATGAATTTATATAGAGTAGAGAAGTTTCTTTGGAAACCCCGTATATGGGTACCTAAGTGCATTTTTATTTGCAATATATGCATGCATGATGGTCAATTCCATCATATAAGTTAAACAAAGAAAGATGTTAAAATTACAGAAGTTAAAGTGAGAAACGTTTTAGGAAGCATTTTAGCTTGCGTTATAAGTTAATATAGGCTAAGGGTGCTCGCGATAAATAAAACTTCCATTAGATAAAGGAAAAAGAAAGAGATGATATTGTATCATTGCAATATCTTTTCTGTTATACAGGTCGTACGAACTGATCCGCTGCAAGCATACAATGAGAATTATGAAATAGCTAAATTAACTTTTGCTATGTAAGGAATAAAGAGAGCATACGAAATAATCACGCCCGCTATCCACGCTATTCGCTAGTGGACGAAGCGAAGCGAATTGACGAATTCTAATATCGGCCGGCAACCGATAAACAAGTTTCTGTTCTTTACTATCTTATAGTATTGATTGAGATTCTAATTCTAATGCTTGCAGCGGATCAGTTCGTACGACCTGTATACAGGGAGTTTTTAATTAACATGCTAATACTGAAGAGGGTGATTCTTGGACCAATTTAAAGAAAAAAAAATTCTTATGAACCTATGTCCTATATACGTCTTACCTTTGGAGATATAGGGTGTTAAAGTTTTAAGAAAAAAAAATCAATTTTTTACTGTCATTTCCATACCACAATGAATATTTTTATAAAATTTGGTGTACGCCGTTTATGCAAATATAGCATTTTTTACCTAAAAAACATTTTCTTTATTTCAAACAGTGGCGTCCGTACTGGACTCAGGTCAAATATTTTTGGGGGTAAAAGTAGTACGCCACTGCTTTCTCTTAAAATAAAAATTATTTTTGAAGGCCCCATTCAATTTAGGAAAAATTTGATTTCTTGACTTTTTTTCTTACAACTCACCGTTTCGCATAAAAAAAATTAAATGCATTTATTTGTATAGGTATACGCTATACCGCTGCATTATCCACTGTGCAGAAATTAGGTAATAAATTTTAGGTGTAGGACGTTATGTTCATATGAAGTTTTTTTCTTAAAATGTGGCCAAGAAACACCCCCTTCAGTATTAGCATATTATTAGAAAACACCCTGTATTTTAATAAATCTTTCATTTATATCTTTCAGCCATAGAAAAAAAAGACCATATTGCAAGCTGACCATAGGGTTTATGAGACTAATAATGGAAGTTATTTCTTTGTTGAATTGCATAGCATGTTTTGCAAACAAATTTACATCATCCTATACAATACTAAAACACATATAAAACTATAACAGCTGGATTCTGGATATAATTTTCCTATCAAAGTAGAGTACCAAAGAACCTAAGGTATATAGGTTCTTGCAGTATAATATAATGATGCTGTGTGTCAAGAGTTTTATGAATTTCTACAGATCGATACGAATAGTTGAAACCACCAAAAGGTTGTATGTGCAGAAATTAAATAAATAGATTAATATCATCAATCCTCATTCGATCAATCAATCATCATTCCTGTGTCGAAATGTATAGATATTTTATGTAAGACGCCTATAAAAGTATCAATGAATCTGTCATTAGGTTACCATCATCCACTGTCATGGAACCATACACTTGGCACCCGGTACAAAGACTTTCCATGATATAGCCAACTTTAAATTTATGGTATCATGCAGCACACGTACACTACATTTGTTATAGAGATGTAGTAAAGCGATATGTTGGCTTCTAGGAAATGGCAATGGGGTGTAATTACTGTCGCGTGACTTCCATCGTACCCTTCATTATTATGAAATTAAAAAAAAACCGTCCAACTGGTATGGCTGAATCCGTAATAACGAGTTGATTAATGCCCTTTTCGTGCGAAAAGGACGTTCATTCTTGTTCGGAATTTAGGAATTCGATTATGAATATTAAAATTCTGGTCTGTCTCGTCTCGTTATTAATATGTCATAATACTATACATAGGAATTATGCAAATGAGATTTATATAATTTCTATAATTGTTAACGTCTATTTTACTATTTATATTAAAGCACGCATTAAATATTCTAAATATTTAAATTAATTTATTGTTTTCTTGGTGGTACTTGGTGGACCTTGATGATATTTGCTATGCTTCTGTCGACATTATATTCTTCTGAATAATTCGGTCGGTTCTTATTCTTAGTTCTAAAAATTATTTTTAAGGTACCTATACTGACCAATATTGCCAAGATTGCATGCGCATTGATAAGAATAACAAATTGGTACCTAATTAATATAAATTTATTACAACGTTACAAATATTTGATCATTATTGGATAATTAACAACGCGATATATCTGTTTTCGTATTTTTAATCTTATAGCACATCGATGAATTGATAAAACGCATAAATTCCTCAACTTGCATTAGTACAAATGCTACTCTCGATTTCCCAGAATCCCCTTCCTATCGATATCGAGCACGAGAGCACCATCCCCATAAAAACGTACCCTATAATTATTTACCACTGCCAGAATATTACCATCGACGTCGACTCGCTTTGTTCTCGGCGTTAGGCATTCAGTGACGGTAGTCGGTATTAGGATTCAGGAGTAATCAATAACTAGTTTTGTGCTGGGACTGACCAATGGCGAGCTGCCGGCCGGCCAACCCACTTTACCAATGGCCAGGCCCCCGCGATCTACCGGCCCTTGCTGCCCCTCGCTAGTCTCCCCTCTTCGAAGCGTACGTTCACATTGTTCACATTCCGCAGCTTTGCGAATGTCCTGAGCGGAGCTGGAGCTGGAGCAACATGGCAGGCGCTCGACGCCGCTATAACGATTTTATTTTTCTGCGTGTACCTCTACTTACACATTTTTATGACAAATTTTTCTGCGTGTACGTACTCGTAACTAACAGATAGTCATTTTTGCTAGTCACATCTCTCTAGGTGTACCTATTGAAATTGGTAATTTTGATGAAAAGTTTTCTAATTCAGATAATCCAGCTTTATACGAGTACTTTACTGATGTTTAATTTTTGTCATTGATCGGTATATGGCGATTTTTTCAATTTTGTTTTTTTTATTTTTCAGGTTTAGAGGCACAAGTGCAAGACTCCTCAAAGGATCTCTATTGGTTCTGAACCAACTGACTTATTTGTATAGATTGTTTATAAAAAATATTGAAAAGTGAGACGTGATCTTAAGTGTAATATAAAAAGTACAAACTGTATTATTTAGATAATGTTAAGTTCTTAAAGACGAAAGACTTGATAATAATCGAAATGGGATTTTTTCCGCTTCAGAAAGACGTTCTTCTCTTTTTTGGAAACGCATAAAGTATCTCTTTGGTGCTGTTCTTTAACTATTTGCCTGCTTCAAAAGGATTCCACCTATATTATAAATTATTAATAAACGCCCTTTTAACTCATCGAAATTCATTCATTTTGTAATTTTTTTTGATATTTGGAAAACTAAGAATATGACTTTATATATAGGTATTGAAAACTAAAAAAAAATATGAAAAGATAAATCTAAACCAAGTATTATTATATTATCCACGTGTGAAATGGATTAAAAAATTGATTATTTATTTTTTATATTGTATAAGTAATTATAATTATATGCATAATAATAATTAAAGGTAAATTGAAGCGGAAAAAATTTAAAAAATATTTACCGCGAAATTAAAAATATTCCTTTTATTCAGCTGTGCTGTACCTAAGTATGTAAATATGCCCCAATGTTATATATAAGTATATAATAAGAAAAAATTAAAAAATAACTTTGTGTTTTATTTACCTATTTAATTTCTATACATGTTTCAATATACCTACTCACTAAAAGAATGATCTGTAAACTTTGTATTTGTAAGATTTGTAAAATTACAAACTACAAAGTATTGTATCAAATACCATACGCGTAAAGGTAATACCTACACAATAAATACCTGATGCAGTAAGTTAATTCCTTACAGTACATAAACAAGTTTAGGTATTTTTAAACGTAAAAAATTTAAATTTAAAGGCTATACGATTATACGAGTAAATAGATGTAACAAAATACACATAATTTATAGCAATATATGCTATGCTTTGATAGTTTGTGCAACTAATATCTACGAATGAGGTACTGAAATATTTCAATAAAATGCCATGCACGAGCAATTTAATAAAAATAAAAATGTAAGGTATTTCTGGAACATTTTAATCCACTTTAGTTTATTACTTGTTCTTGTAAGTTAAAAGCTTCAATATTATAATGAAAGATATTAGGTATCTGAATGAAAAACTGATTACTCAAAAGTTGCAATGGGAAATTATAATTTTCCTAGATGGATTCAGGAGGAATGAGCCAACTCTATTATACTTATTGCAATTAAAAGAATATATTTTATATAGGATTTAATACAGAATAAAGACTCAAAAAGGTACAATGTAATAGAAAAAAATCAACAACTCTACGAAAATATAATAAACTATACATTCTATAACACCTGAGACAAAATCTGTTGACGCACCCCAATAAATTTATGAACCATTTACCCCAATTAAGCGAATCCCTTAAGCGTCGGCGAGTTCCGACTTTCGAACCATCGGAACCAAAACAAAAAAAAATACAAGAAATGCCCCGACAAGGGATGCAAACGTTCGACGTGTTCGAAATGTGCGCTTCGCGTTGTCTCGGTTCGCACATGTGCCTTCTCGCTGTAATACCGCCGTTCGAATAGCAAGAAGGCCTGTCGGCCACTAAATCATGCAGAAACGGAAGCAGCCCGCAAGTCTAAAGCGACTTTCGTGCTTCCTCTACAGCTGTCACCACGGGATTATGAGAAAAGTCGATCGAAATAATGGGAATCCGGATCGCAAATACAACGGCAAAGACAACGAAGAATTGCAACTATATAAATGATAAAAAAATGCATGGATATAGAACTGACAATGAGTAACAAAAACTTATCCTATTAACTGGATATTAATCTTAGGGTAATTTTAAAAGATCGTTTAAATCTTTTACCGCACATCGAAAATATTTAACAAAACGCATTTTTACGAGTCTCCCGATTTTTTTCCCTATTCCGTAGCGCATTTATGTTTTGTCAGACGATAAATAAAGCCCAGAAGTATAAGAGCACCTCAATTAAAGTATTAAATCACTGTAATTGATGGTATTGCGTACGCGGTTCAGTTTTTACAAGCGTTTCGAGATAATTTTAGATCATCAGCTATTTCGGTTCAGTCAAGAGAATGCGTTTTGTTAGATATTTTTAAACGGGAAATGTCAAATAGAGCAAAGAGGAGACGATTTTTACTTTCGACAGGCTATTAGGGGTTTATTGACGAGTTTTCAAAAATAAAATAATGCCTGGTCAATACGAAACAAAACTTGCCCATTGCATATTATCTCAAGAACTCGACTTTATCTAATCAATATAATTTTGCAAAATATTTTCATGTATTTTTGAGATCCAATAAAATAAATGACCATCAATACTATCTCCATCATGCATCAGCAGCAAATCTGAGCTTTTGGAATTGAAATTGATATCTACCTAACTAATAAATTTTCTGTATTATGAACAGAATGGAGTATAGAATTTCATTATCGTGCACATACGTACAACGTTGTAAAGCACAAAGAGGGAAAATCGATTTTCCCTTTGGAGTCGCTCGGTTTTCGAACATCATCAATAAGATGGCGGGAGCGAAGATGGGTTTAGCTTCATCAAGATACTTCTCGATTAATTAAATTAAGTGAGTGTTTCTGAGACGCCGGGAGGAGTGGAATAAGGAAAATTATGCTCCTTGCCGGAGTGGAACGTTGAATTATGCCGATAATACCATTCAGAGATTTCCGTTTCCAATTTTGCGGGATGCATGACTGGAAAATATTTCGAATGTGCGCGAGATGTTCGTCGATTTTTCGCGAATTGATTTCATTAAAACTTGAATTAATGAAATAAAAAAAATGTTTGATAAAGAAATTCTGATAAAGATTTTTACTAGGTAACCTACCTATACTGCTAATAATTCATGAATTGCAAAATAAAATTATAATTTTTTTTCTTCGATTCTCATTGGGTTTTTACCCACATACCTACTACTTACAAATCTGATAGGACTTATAGCAGTGGACCTGATGAGAGTAAGATGCATGATGGATGGTAAATAAAATTTAATCAAAAGTTACAACGATATTCAAATTAATCTGAGCCCTAATTATAATATAAAACTGATGATTATTAAAATGTTGCCAGTTTCTAATTCAACATATATTTTATTGTAGGTAAATATTACTCTTTTAAAATTTAAATATCTGCACAAATATGGGCATTATTAACCTAGGCCCTTATAACCAAACGATGTCATTTAACATATCTGCCCGTTTATGTAAATTTCAAAGTATCGTTAAAATAAAGTAATTACCTACCTATTTTTTGCGAAAATTAAGTACGTACCTATTTACCTGGTAATTGTAAATTACCGTATACAAAGAGCATAGTAGATATGCAAACTAAGCGAAACAATTTCAAAAATTCAAAATTTCAATATTTTTCCGCCTCATTTGAATCATAAAATATAGGTGGTATGTGGAATATTATCAAAAACACTGACGGTTTCAATTATTTGTAAATAATATTTTACAATTACAAATTTCCATGGCAACATAATGAGCTATAAAAAAACAGCTAAAACATAATGTTCGCCTAAGCTAAATGCATGAAATTATTTTCATTCAATTAACCACAACTATTAGGCATACATGCATATACTTCGTGCATAAGCTATAAAATGTTTAAAGGCCACAACATTTTGTTCTATAATGTGACGAGATATGCCGATTTCCATATGGGACTGCCCATTATCCCATCAAACAAATAGGTCTCAGCAAATAAATTGCCACTTTTCCCATACGAATCCATTAGTCCACATGTGGCACCTTCTTCCAATTAGAAGCCGATGGCACCTAATCGAAGAACACAGAGTAGGAATCAGTGGCAAAATTCAATAAATTAAATGAATTTGGAACCTCCAGTTTGAAATGCTACTTACTAGAAAAGTAGTTAAAAATCTTCGAAATACTCTTAAACCAAGACTATTATGTAGACTTAAAGAAATGACAAAAAATACTAAAATACAAAAACTTTATAGAAAGTAGGTACCATCGCTAAATGTTAAAGGTGAATAATTTATTTTTACGAAACTGAAATATTTGCCACATTCATACCTGCAAAATTAAGTAGGTGCTTTTTTTAATTGTAATAACACAAGGTAGCATTTTAATAGATTTCCATATAGAGTTGAAAAGCATCTCAATATAGTCCGCGTTTAAAGCACGCTCTGTTCTCCGTTCGCGTTTTCGAACGATTTTTCTTATTCTTAATCACCGTCTGTTCTCTTCTGGATCAGGTCGTAATCGCATTTGTAAAGGGAATCGCTATCGGTATCAATTAGTAATTGTAACAATGCGGTGTCGGGACATTATCGGGCCCGACTGCGGCCGTACTCTTCGGAAAACGAAAAACCCGACCGCTAATCGCTCCGTTAAAATTCAGACGGTGTCGGCGTTCGTTTTATCTTTATTTCCACTTTCTGCTTTTATTTCTGAGGCTGATGCCGATCAATTTCGATGTGTTTGCTCGGCCTTCGCTTCGCCGCCTTTATTTTTAATCATTATCTCTGATGCCCCTAATTTTTTTCTGTACTTTCTTGTACCTTCGTTATTAATTTAAGTGGATGTTTCGTAACGAACGCGTCGTTTTTTTTGACTCATAGGAAACTATTTGGTATATCGTTGATCTTGTAGAATGCAAAGACTGGAAATTAAATACCTGTACCCTTTGGCCCTGTCAAGAATAATCCCAATTCGAATATATCCTAATTAAAAAGCAGAGGATCCGGCTGAATCCGTTTCACACGTTACTGTGTTTCTAATTTTGGTAATCAAATGTTACCGGTGTTCCCGTTAGCCCTACTATATACGGTCCATTCATCATTTCGGCAGAAACACCAAAATATGGCCCTTTGATTTACCCTTCGGGTGCCTACTTTGATTAATGCCTTCGAAAAACGCCCCCGCTCCCGTCAAGTGTGTACCATATGGATATACTATTACAAGACTCATATGATTCCAGCAGCTATTTTGCTTCTTGTTCCAAGCATATTAATACCTAATTATTTCATTAAGATAAATTTTACTACTCCTTTTTAAATGGACCTAAACAAACGTTTAGTTCACTGATGGAAGTAATTTTCGGCAAATTCAAAAACGAATTTAGGTGATTGTTTCTCCTGCAAAAGATAAATTCTATATGTGATTAAATACATTTTCAGGAGCTCATGCTGAACCAATCTGTACATTAATCCAGACTGATCCTGATCCTGTCATTTCTATGGTGCAAAAAGAAGAATGTTATTCCTTAACAACCTGCTTGGTTGAACTAACTCATACTTCTTATTAATTACTACCAATTCTCGCAAAAAAATTAGATTCTATAGGTATTTTATTAGATGCAAAAAGAGCCTTCCGCGATGGATCGTTATTACATTTACCACAGAGCTTATTAAAAAAATTGTAAATGGAAACACGTGTCCTATATATCTCCTTATACCCTTTAATAATGATTAAGCACCTACCGCTAGCTTCTTCCTATTAAGTAACGTGATTTATTTGCGAGCGTCGACACAATTATGACGTTTATGCCACATTTAAAAATAAAAATGTGACATAAAAAATGGGCCCACCGAAGAGATAGGTGCAGATATAAATAAAAATTTAATACCTACATGTAGAAGGACATTACCGATGTATCTCATGTATTAATTAGAAGTTTCTTGGTGTTTCTTGAAGCTTGATAAGCTTTGGAAAACTTTTTGTTCCCACTACTATATTGTCAATGGCCCCAAAAGCTTCTTTAAATTGACAATAGTCCATGTTTAATAATAAAATGTAAGAGTAAATGGCTTTAAGGTTTTAAGACCATAAAAACTTTTGCTTTAAAGCAACTGCCGGGTCTTCGAAGCAAAACCTATCTTTCTTAATATCAAAAAACAAAATAAAAGTTAAACTTATAGACAAAAACGTTTTATTTTTCACCAACCTCTAATTTGTTGTTTGTACATCTTATTATGACTGACACCGTTGTCTAGGGAGAGTAGAGAGAAGAACACGAAACCAGCCATTAACAAGTTATATTGGCTGGCTTTCCTTATGCAGACTCCCTCGTTCCTTTTGAACCTAAAGTAAGCTGTTCCGATAAACAGAGCAGCAATGCAAGCGTATGCATTATATTCCATGCCTGTAATGGTGTAAGTTATTAGACATATTAAGATATTTAAGTCCGTCAAATCTTGGCGTTTGTATTCCAAAAGTACGAACAAAAACACGGTTAGAAGAGACAATATTGATGGGATTACGGCTATAGATGCTGGGGCTATGTTGTATTTGAGCAGAAAGTCGGTTAGTACCATGGGAAAACACATTACTTGCTGGGCATAGTCTAATAGGATTCTTAGGTCGCAGTATGAGCTATCGTTAGCTGAAAAGTATTTATAAGTATAATTTTATATATTTTATACTATCAGTAGATTATGGACAAAATTGGTTATTCTATTCTAGATAAAAGGGAAATTAACCATTTAATCGATAACCTGTAGGTTGTAGAAGCTTGGCGATTCTCGCAACAATGCTGTTTGATTTAGGAAAATTAAATTAAGTGGTGTATGGTTACTTACTGAAGTGAAGCAAAGCACTCAAAGAGTTAGCAATTACCAACAAATATGAGACGAAAGCGTAATGTTGAATGTCTCTAAAGGTAACTTCGTAGTAATAATCTTTTAGACAAAATCCTGCGATCGTGGCGAGGATTATGTTCGACCAAAACGGCAAAATGACTTTTTCGACTAATGTTCTGGACTTGTTTTGGTATGCAAAAGGGGGCATTATGTTTTCTCCTATTTTTGGCATTTTTAATGTTTTACTGTTAATTTCAAAACGTGGTTTAAACCAAAATTTTTGCACTGAAAACAAACATTATGTAATGTCAGGGGTGACATTTGTGCGAAGAAATGATAAAGAATTCACTTTTTTCTTATTATGTCCGTTATTTCACAAAACAAATTTGAAATTGTAAGGGTGGTTGCATAACATTCAGATGATCTCTCCAAAGACGGTTTATGGCGAAAATGATATTTAAATATTATGTACGAATACACAATGATTTTATTAATCTTGGTGATTATTCTTGATTTCAATCTAATTTGTTTTAAGACTTTCAACCAAATGAATAATAATATCTACTGAAATGTAACGTGCAAGAGATCAATAAATAATATAATAAAGGAAAAAAAAGAAGAAACTCTTTTTTTCTTCTTCGTGTGTTTTTGGCCTCAGTTGACGGGGCTATTCGGCCAAAGAAACTCTTTTTTTTATATGACAAATGACAGCTAAATCAAAAAGAAGAATACTTGTCTTGTGGTTGTCAGTTGTTTTGTGTTCCGTTCTGATATTTGCGTTCTATCTTTGAATCCTAGTCGAACGAGTTTTATGTTCCGTGATGTTGCGGGACATAGTGTAGTCGATAAGATACGAGACAGTTTCGAGTATTTCCGCTCGAAAGTTTATCGCAGTTGTCTAAATTTATTTCGAAACAATTAAATTGTAAAGGTGAGCATGCTCATTTTTGTGCATCAAATTCATAAGCATTTATTTTGTATTACGTTTTTCATTGATAGAACGATGAAATTAAACTATAAAATAATAAAACGTCATTTTCAATTTCGACTCGAGCTCCAACCGGAGAACGATTTAGCGTACGCTATTGTGCTACAGTAGAAACTACGGTTTCCCGACATCGAAAATTTAGTCTTCGCAATTTCCAGGGAAAAGCAAGCTTTCTGCGTGAATCATTGGATAAGCTTGGTGTTCTGTATGGTGAAGAGGGTTTTTCTCAAACTTGAAGAAAATGGTTTTGGCCGAAAAGAACAGCGATAACATTAGGAACGGACGGAGAAGTCGAGGACCTAGCCCGAATGGGCACATGCAGGCAGAATCTACCAGTGAAGATGAGAGTAGTGGTAAGTAAATATTCCGTTTTATCCGTTTACAATTATTAATTTGAAATAAATACGAATGGTAAATTTTAATAAATCGTAATTATACGACTTGCTTCAACTACAATTAATAATTTTGAGCTTGAACAATTATCTGAATCATAAATAACCTTTAATTCATTTTCCAAATAGTGTACCTAGCTATAATAAATGTGCATTATATTCCAACGATAATATTTGTTTACTTCACGCATACTTGTGTGGCATGTGTACATTGTTGTTTTATAAAATTATCTATCATTTCTAATACATCAAATACCTTTTGCAGTGCCTGTAGACAAAATAAGAGTAGGAAGAGACTATCAGGCAGTGTGTCCGGAATTGCAACCGGAAAATCAAAGGAAACCAGAACTTTTAGCGGACAGGGCCCTTCTGGTTTGGTCACCAACAGAATCAATTCCGGAATCGAAGCGTAAGTTTGCTATAGCTTTAAACCTTCATATATGCTTAATGCATACAATATTAACCAGGCATTCTACACACAATCGTTTAAAATAATTAATTAAATCCATGAGATTCACGGTACCTACGGGTTTGATTTGATCATTGATCAATCGTACATTGATCAATGTAGAAGGATAATTAATTCCTTTGAATGATGATACTATCAAGGGGTTAAAAAGCTCTCATAAGTATCTTGAGTTCAATTTTGATAGTTTTCTGGTCGAAATTGTCTTCAAATTATAACTTAATCTGTATTGCCATAATTGGAAATTAATTTTTATTTCAATGGTCTTTTTCAGTTGAAGATTACATCGTTCTTGCCAAAGACAAATACGGATACAATGGTGAACAAGCCCTTGGTATGCTGTTCTGGCACAAACACGATTTGGAGAGGGCCATGCTGGATTTAGCAAATTTTACACCTTTTCCCGATGAATGGTCAGTAGAAGATAAGGTCCTCTTCGAGCAAGCGTTTCAATTTCATGGGAAAAGTTTCCACAGGATAAGACAGATGGTATATTTACGTTTGTTATTTAAGACAAATTTGTACAGTGTTTCCAAAGTAATTTGTTTCCAAACTATTGTACAAGTACTTAGTTAATGCCTTTAATCGATGTTCTTATATTCAGTTGACTTTTGGGAAACTATAAGCTGTTTAACAGTTACAAAACTATAACAATAATTGTTATAGAATAATTCTCCTCATACATTCTCCTCCACATTCATAAGATAAAGTAAGATTTTCATTAAAACTTACGTTTTCAGTTGCCCGATAAAACCATAGCAAGCCTAGTCAAATATTACTACAGTTGGAAAAAAACTCGTTCTCGCACTAGTCTGATGGATAAGCAAGCTAGGAAACTTAATACTCCCAAGGAGGAGGGAGGAGCGTCGGAGGCAGGTTCGGAGAATGGCTCGAACGAAGAATCTGACCACGATGACAAGGTAAGGATTAAAGTACACAAAATTTATAATCAGCACCGACTTCAAAAAATTTATCTAACACAATTGCCTTTTTAATTTTAAAAACTTACTCCTTCGTTAAAAGCAAACTGACAGCAAAAACCTTGAAATAGCTGGATATCCTTGAATTTACCATCGCATAAAATTTTTCAAATGGAAAATTCGTAGTATAAGTATACTTATGGTGTTACAAAGAATCTTTCTTTTACCATAACTTGTATGTTATACAACTTTTCTTGTGTAAGGTTGAAAACAATCTATTTACCTCGAGTCTATCGATATTTGATCTGCCAATTAAAAAAAACCGAACAAATACGATCCAATTACGACAATCCTAAGAAAATGTACAAGTATATTTCCCATTATTAAAATAGTCATAATTTGCATTGGGCTCTCTTGGTTAGTTTGGTTGTTGTGTGTGTGCAGGGTGAGGGTGGCGCATGTTCTAACTGCGGAGTCATCTGTACGGTCACTCAGGTAACCTCAAAAGGAAATCTTTGCAATTCCTGTTTTCAACATTGGAGGTATGTATGTAACCGTCTAGAACTACCTCTATGATGTAATTCCAATACATAAGTATTATCGAAATTCCGGCGTATTTTTTTCGACAATAATTTAATTTTCCGTTTATCTACTTGACAAATGGAATGTGGAAAATTGAACTTTCATTTTGCTCTACTGGAGTATTTGGAAAAAATATAATGTAGTAGGGCTGATAAAACGCAAATAGTACAATTGATGCGAATAAGATGTAATAATAAGAAAATCTATTCTACAGTTTACCGTTTTTTCTAGGCTGTTGAGAAATCTGGTATACATTACGAATATAACCTGTAAAGATAAAATATTTACAATTTGTATTGTAACAACGTTAATTTGTTCTATAGAGAAAAAATAGTATGAAAATTTTGGCGATCAGGACCAGTAAAATTGGTTTGGTACGCATTACTAAATTGACCATTCATCTCAACAGTCATGTTCATTTAAACTATTTAATCCTTTTTATTGTTTTATCATTCTGTTAGCTTTTAACTTTAAATGTGCCATTAATGCTTAAAAGATAATGCTACAGCACCTTGCACAGAAGCTAGTCTGCTTTAAGGAATTAGTTTATTTTTTGCATGGTTTATTAAAATTTTATTCCCTTGTGTCTTAGTAAGAATGTTAGTTTATTACTAAAATAGTCGTTAATTTTAGATGTACCCTTACTTTTATTGTACCTTTTTGTTCTATTCAATATGAAATTTTAATTCGAGACAATATTAGGAAAGTTAAATCGATTCTTTTGACAAAAACTTCAATATTTTGTGAAAATTAGTATATTGCGCAAAATTAGCATAAAAAATAAAGGCACTAATAAATAAGAAAAATCTTCACAGAGCTCTTGAATATACATCATTGGTCAATTCATGTACAAAATAACATCGCTTCAATTTTACATTATATTTTTGCATAAGAAAAACGTTATTGGGATTACATTATGGCGCTTATGTACAGTGTATAACGAAATAAAGTATTTGCACTTAAATGAAACTAAATCGTTGTTAAGAACAAAACGCCAAAGTCATTCATTTAAAACCATCTTCGTATACCTATAGACGAACGGGCTTGTTGCGGCCCACATCTGGGCCGACGGGCAGTAAGCGGGGCACCCCTTTGGGGGCTCGTCATAAACGCAAGCCCCCCCGCGGCATGTACATCAACCACGACGATTTGGCTGCGATGGCTTCAGGCAATACGGGCGTCGTCATGCTCAAAGCCTTGGATAGAGAGATAGATTCCATTCAAAGACAAGTGAGTATTTTCCTATTTAGTACCAAACTTTGAGTTTTCCCGTTTTCGAGGGTTTAGGATATCCGGCTACTTCTCAATACAATCCACCTACCTTTTCCTATTTACGCGCTTTGGTGATTTTTCCAAACTTCCCTAAGGGGTCTGTCAGTTAAATTGTGATTAATTTTTTGATATACAAATAATGGATCAAATTTCATAAAAATGGTATATTTTTTGTTGGTTGGCATTTCAAAAAATATGTGTTTATAAATAGTATAGACGTGAAAGCTCTGGATGATTTCGGAGACTGTTTTTGAAATGTCGAATCTTTAAGAATATTACAGATGACATATAAATGGTTAGAGCTCCAGGATCTAAGCAGGATGTTTGAACAAAACTCAACTGAATTGCTACACAGGATCAAACAACAGGACATCTATCGAGAGCAGTAAAACTAAAAGATAAACTAAAAGTACCTGAAAATAATTACGGTAGATCATACACGTGGAAGAATGCTTTGCTCACAGTAAGCATTTCATTAACAAACCTGAAGACGAAGCTAACCTCACAACAAGCGAGTGTAAACAGCTCTACGTACAAAATAATTTCCGTAATAAACGAGTTTTTTATTGTTGTATGTTGTTTCAGATTCAACAGAATAAGCAGACCTTGAGTTCCTTGAAGAGGAAGCATTCCGATTCGATTGAAGACTTGCGCCCGAATAACGAAAACAACTCTCGATTTAATCCTCGATGGACGAACGAAGAACTTTTGCTTGCCGTGCAAGGCGTTCGAAAATACGGTAGAGATTTTAAAAGTATCGCCGACGTTATCGGAAACAAAACCGAGCATCACGTACGCATGTTCTTCATTAACTACCGCAAGCGATATAACTTGGACAGTATCCTTAAAGAATGGGAAAAAGAGCACGGGCCTCTTCCGGATGAAGTGTCGGACATTAAAAGTGAAAATGACGATAATGATAATGACGTTATTTGCATATCGCCCACGCCTAGCACTAAGAAAGATATTAAAAACGGCAAAGTGTTGCAAATAACTAAATGATAATCTTAAACTATTGTGTAAACTGTAATTAACATTAATTTTAGCGTTTAGGGCAGTTCTCTATTATCGGTTGCTGTTTCGACCGTTTCGACTTCACTTAATCACCGCAAAAGCAATAAAGGTAGCCAATAAAGATACTAACTAATATACAGTGCGGGCCAAAAACTTCCTCCAAGTTTTGTTTTATTTGGACGGGACGAGGTATCGAATTCGGGTAATATCGAGATGTAGAAACATATATTTACTTAGATGTCATTGGACCGTATTCAGCGTCCCACTTTAACTTTAAACACGGCTTTAGAGGGTCGCTTTAACTTAAACAAAGTCCATAGTTACTCCATAACAACAATGTAAAATTGTCAAGTTAGAGAGGCGTCCTTAACTTTTAAAGTGAGGCGATGAATACGGGACAATATACAGGACGTTCATAAAATAGAAGAAGATATTTTAAAGGACAAGGTCCTTGTTGAAAAATATGAAATAAACTTTCTATACCGAGAACCCAATTCCAAGCGCTGCAATCATTAAAAAATCGCAAGGACTGGGCTTAATAATTTTAATCTATTTGCCTCTTAATGCAACAAAGTAGCATTGCCAATTATCAACGGAATCAAGTAAATATTTTTTAAGATATTAATCATTTTTTAATTCGTGTATCTTAAAAACTGTGCATTTCCAAACCCATGGTTATAGAACCCTTTTTTTCATATTTTTTAACAAGGAATCCTCCTCTACAATATCTCGGTCTTTTTTATGAACACCCTGTATTTTGTATTGTTTTTTTAGTACATCAAGAATGTGCTAAAATTAAAAGAATCTGTAATCATTGTGCACTACTTGAAATCCTAAAATTTCACATTTTTTATTATGAAATAATTGTTATAATAATTATTCATTTGCCTCGATTTGACTCAATTTTGATATCACGCTGTATATCTGTATATTGGAATAGTGGAAAACATTTTCAGTTTAGTATAGATATTGTGTTTTTTTTTCCAATAATTTCGCATTACTATTGTAAGTGTATTATAGGCGAATATTGATAAATAAATCAATTAGTGATAAGACATTTATGAAATTAGTAAATTATTGGCGGTATTTTATGTACCTCTTAAGCAATGTAAATGTACTGTAAACTTACCTAATGTCTTCTTGGTTACGAGGTCGATGCTAAGCCTTCGTTAACTAACTGTACATTTCGGCCAACTTATCTAAAGTGAATTTTAGTGAGTGATGGAGAAACAGTTAATAGCCAATCGGAAAGACGAATAGTCCCGTTCCTATAATTTTAGGATGTATCAAATCTACTTTAAGCCTTGCTTGATTATTATTTTAGGAATATTTTTCTGTTTAGTAAATTATACAATACGTTCGTTTACGTTATTCAGTGGTTCTTTTTAATATGTAAATGAGGAAGACTTTTATTTTATTTGTTTACTTTAAAATGCTAGATCTTTAAGGATCCTTGTAGTCGGTTTTATTAAAAACATGCTATGCTTGCAGTATTTATCGTTACATATAAAACATTTTTATACTTAATGATATTGTAAAATAAATTAATGATTTCATAATTTTTTATCGTTTCGATTTGATTACATAATATCTCTTGCATTTCTAATCCACTTTTTGCATCTATTGTGTATTCCTTCCTTAAAATTGCGGAATCATTTTGAATTCACATATTATCGACGAATGTTAATTTTCGTCAAATTAATATTATGAGGGTATGTATGCGTTAAAAACCAAAGTCTGGAGATTGTACTTTTTAGTATCGACAGTACGAGTTGAGAAAATGTAACAAAATATTAATTTTAAAGTGTTATTTATTGATTTGAAATAAACGATTATTGTATTGTTTCGATACACTACATACAATTTTGTAATTAAGTAAGGAACGTAATAAAATGTATTGAAATTTACTTTACTTTTTATATATAAACATCATTTTATTTGCGTAGGATTTTTTAAAGGTAATTATTTAAAAGTATTATTGACTATTTATTTATTTTAATTTATGCCTCTTGATTTCTAGAAACTTATTTTGATTCTTCAAGTGTTTTATTAGAGCTTCGTATCATCAATTTTTGTACAACGTTAGTATTACATAGAAACATTTCCTTGGGTTAATCATCAACAGTTAAGCTAATTAAAACATATATTCGAGAACTTTTGAGAGTGCTAAGTTGGAAATTGGTCCGCAAAGACCATATTTCCATGGACTTACTTGCTGTTAACTTGTCACCCCATATTTTCCCAATTAACAGAACTTATGCATTTAGTTTGTAAACAAAGGATTCGTCTAGGTCGATGCTTCAAAGAATGGCACGGAGTTTTAATTTAATTGAAAGTTGCAGAACCTATTTTGAAACTGGTGAGTTCCACAGTAAAATGTAATTTAGCTCTCGTGTAAAATTGCTAATGATCTTTATTATGGAGACGAATAAAAAGTTAACGTGAAACATTAATTATGTAGATACTTTGAATTAGAGATGGTAGGTATCGAATAAAGTAGGGTAGAGACTCACAAAGTAAATTAACTATTATTATTTTACATTATATCTACATTATTTTCCCTTACATTCCCGTCGAAATTTACTGCAATCCTCTCATTTGCAAAGTTCGAACATAATCGGCAGAATATTATTCCTAATTCTGTTCCTCTGTTTGTTCCTGCCATATTAAATTATAAATTCCTGCGACGCTCCTGCCGAGTCAGCGAAGATCTGTGATTAATTTAATGTTTACATTCAATAATGAATTTCATGTTTATCCAGCCTGTGGTGTTGGTGTTTATTGCCTTTAAAATTAAGGAGGGAGTTTGCTTGGGGATTAGCTGTTTTACATAATATTACGTACAGTACGTATTACATAATATCATTAGCGACGATGAAACCGGCAAACTCCGTATGGGAATTGTTGCAGGAAGAAGGACGATAAGGATTTCTCTGAGAAAATGAGAATACTAAAGAAAATGACTAAATTATCCTACGGTGTACGGGGGTTTTTCGCAGTTATCTGAATTTTAATAAAAAGAAATTCTGGTTCACGAATTCGCTTGATGAAAAAATTGAACTATAAGCAAGATTTTTTCCGGATAATTTTTTCAAATATTCCTAAAAATCCCTGAAACTTTAAAATTTAAATTTTGTGGAGGTACTATTACTTAAAAAATTTTTTTGAACAAATTAATGTAAAAGGAGTAAAAATTGAGAGGTTTATTTAAGCTACATCGTATTTACAATGCTCAACATACAATAAATTATTAGGAAACCTTATTTCCTACAACATTAATAGAGTAGAATTTATAGATTGAGAGTTCATAAACGGTTCAACCGAGACGTTTCCTGGAAATTGAATGAATACGTGGATCAGTAAAAAGAGAACATTGTTTTTGCATTATTAAGATTGTGTATTTTGTGAAATATCTGCTCAAGAAAACATCTCGGTAAACTTGTTTACCTTCTCTAGACAATTATCACAAATAGGTTTTATTATAAACATTGATTTCATTATACATGATATACTGTTCGGAGAAAAATAAAAAAAAAACTTTCGTTTTGTTCTTAATCAATCTCTACGTCAAATATTAATTAAAATACAACTAATCAGTCGAAGTTTTTTATAATTTCGAGTTAATTGTCACTTTAATCAATTATCTTTTAATAATTCATGTTCTTATTGTGTATTGTTATAGAATAGACCATTCACGTTTAAATTAGGCTCTTTTAAAAATATTTAGGCAAGTACATTCCTTATGTAGTACCTTCTAGATATGTCTTTTGGTAGAGATCGATCAAAAATGTACATTGGCAATAATTGATTAAGAAATACACAGTAAAAAGCATTCGAAAGTTCATAACAAAATTCTTATAACAATTTGTATAATCGTAATATGTACAATAAAAATATTGATGAGTATTTCAGTTCTGTGCCTTTTCGAACTATCGTATTACGTATATTGTGTTTTGAACTAAAGTTTGCTCGAGTTGTAACAAAACTGGTTTTTAGTTTAAAGAGGTTTCTAATTTTGCCTCTGAAGCAATTTATTTCCCCAATGAAAGAAACTTCTGCGAATTCCCTGTTACTATCATCATTATTTAAATTAAAAATAATCATCTACTTAGTTTAATATGGTCAGTTTCAATTTAATTAAAAACCCCTTTAATGTCAGAGAAAATATTCATCTAACAAAAATACACATATTTCTATTAGATTTTAGTCCCTTTAAAGATTGCACATTGAAATATACAAAAATTCCATTCATTTATTAGTTTTTTCTACGAAGTTTTTACAACCCTGAAACAATAATTAAAATCAATAAGTGTTTGAAATTCAATCTTTTGTATAAAAAATATTACAGCGATATTTTACCTATATTGATGATGGTATAGCCAAGCCCTGTAGTTATTAAGTAGATTACTAGTGTAAACCAAGCTTGATTGGAGATCAAACTAGCACTGCTCCCTGCAATAAAGAAATGAATTCAGTTTTGTTAATAACATTTTTGTTGGTAAATAACCCCAAAATCTCCCATAGATATTTAATTAAATTCGAATTGGTGCAGCTAAATTCCCCGTTCTAATTAAAATTTCGCTCTATAACTGTACAGACGTACATAGATTTCTGTGTAATTTAATTCGAATAACGTTGAAATAAATAGCCGAAATAACAAGCGAAACCATTTACCCAAAGGAAGCAAACTAGTTAATTTAATAGTATTCCGGATCGCATTCAACAATTGTTTTCGCCTCTGCAACGACATACGCCATTGTTTGAATTTGGAATGCACCCGTTCCCTTTATGTAACGTATACCACAGAATATTACTAGAAAACCGAAGGCTTAAGTTTAATTTAGTTTGGCGACGATAAAATATGTTTGGTGTTGATATTGGTTTATTAATAAATGTTGACGTTTTCTACAAATCGAAAGGAAGAGACCCGAGATGCGCGAACGTGCCTATTTAATGCCACTTCTATAGCACTAATAAACAAGTAGGATTAAATGAAAATTTCTTATCATTGGCAAATGTTCTTAATCGTGAGAGATTTTTAGTTTCTTTCTATTCAAATAGAAGAGGATGGAATCATTCTGTTTATTTTTTTTTATTGAAAAATCTATTCTCTAGAATTTTAGATTATGTACCATTATTTTGGTAGTTTAGCTGTTCTTCTCGATATGTAGCCTCCAAAACAAATTAAAACTGCGTTTTGTATTATTTGAATTGTACTACAATTTTAATGCAGAATTTTCCAAATAGATAAAACTGAAGTTTCTTATTCAAACCCTCTCAATATTTATTTACGTAAGACTATTTTGTAATCTAGGAGTAACGAAATTGGACCCGAAGGATCAGTTTCCAATCCTCAACACAAACTTTAACAATACCGCATAGTATTTATCGAAACGAGTTCGTGAATAATACATGAACCGTTTCATATACATGGATGTTCCCCGTGTTATGCTGCAAGTTAATCCCAGCTAGGTGGGTATTTACGAACTTTTTTCATAAACGTGCTCCCGCAATTTTAAATAAATGCATCGGAAACATTGGCAGTTTCTGTTTGAAATACCTACACTTTGTTAATGAGAAACTTTACTCGTGTAAAACAATGCTTCATTAATTTAATTGGAGGCGATGTATATAAAACTTGTGGTACTTTTTTCAGCATGAGTGAATAAATATTTCTAATTCGGTGTAAATAAATTTTGTACTCTTTCAAATGCGATTGCGAAAGAGATAAAGGGATTACTTTGCGAAAGTTTCATCTCCATCTGACCACAAATTAAGAGTGAACGCGCTCCTCCAAAAGGGAAACTACGAAACCAACGAACGAGCGAGCGCCGGCTATCCGATTGTTTATTTTTTTAATTTCTACTTTTAATCCATTGTGCTGCGAACCTTCGTTAATCCTAGAAGCTGCCCGTTCGTGTGGTATAATAAAATTGTTCCGACCAAGCTGCTGCAATTGTCGGAAATCTTCCTGACGGACGGGGAAATCTTGTTTCCAGTGAAATTCGCTTCGTCGGAAAAATAAAAAATTAAAACGGAATCCGATTAATGTTTTCGCATAAACAAGAACCATACTGTAAGTTGCATTGATGGGAGCCATAAATCATTATAGAGACGAATTCACCAGTTGACATCATTTATGCGAAATAATCTGGTATTGGCAATACCGATTGCGAATACATGTTGTAATTGAGAAACATTTTCGTGCCCCGGATGAGGCTCAGTTGATTAACGCACATAGTGTTGTCGTTGTCATTTATCTCTTTCGAAATGGCGATGCGAAACCGTTTGATGAACGACACCGAGTTTTGTCTCCGAATCATTAGCGCTGTTGTTGTCCCGTCAGCATTGTACACCGTGACTTTTTTCCATGGATTCTGCACGTTTTCGATTGAATTAAAGTTTTTTTAGAGGCGAAGGGTCGATAATGCAAAAAAAACTCGCTGTTGTATATGTACATACAACCGAACGACAAACATGTTTGAACAACGGAGTTTTGCGAACGAACCTGGAATGTATTGGTTTTCAGTTGGTTACAGTAGATCAATGAAAAGATTTTTGATATCATAGAGTAAAATTCCCTTTCGCCTATACCACGCAGGCTTTCTGTCCCGTCTTCATTATCCAGCATACCTATATTTTTTTCCTTGTAAATAAAAGATGAAATCATCAATATGATAGAGAACTCTAATTCTTTAAAATTTTCAATGAATCAAATCTTTATCTCATTAATAAAATTTTTCCAAATTCTTACATACCTACTTTGAATAATAATTTTTAAAATTCTTTCCTGTATAAAAAAGATTTTTTCTTTACTTTTATTTTTCAAACAGTCACAATGCAGTATCGGAAACTTTACGACCGAAGCACCGTGTATGTGAGATAAATTATTTTGTTAATT